GGTAGTGGGGGGTGTGGTTGGGGGTCCACAGGAGATGCAGGAGCATTCTTACCTAGACATGGACTCTTATCCCAACAGTGCTGGTGAGCAAAAGTCTGCTGTGTATCAAACTCAGAAGCACTACTTTACTCTCTGTGAGACCTAAGAGACAATGATTGTTGTTAATTATTCTCCATTGTCTTAACTACTCCTTTCATCTTTTCTATGGCTAATGGTTTCTCACTTTTTCAGCAAACCTTAAGTTGAGCCAGACATCTCCCGAGTTGCCCCCGGCAACAGAAGGAGGCTCAGCTGCGAAAGACCTGCCCAATGCCCAATCCCAGCAGCAGGTCACCACCAGGTCAGTGACCTTCTCTTGTTCCTTGTTCATGTCTGTGGTTTCTATGTGTGTGTTACAGGATGATGGAGTGAGTGTGTGGTTTGTGTCTTGCAGAATGTTATATTGAAGTAAAATATAGTGTTTTTTCTTTTCAAAATGTCTTACATACCCTACTGTTTTTAAAGTTTTTCCCTATTGTCTAATATTGTGAAATACTATTACAGGTTAAAATAACTGTTTTCTATATATTCTAAATGTCTTCAAATCTTCAAATGTAGTTTATTACTGTCATGGCAAAGCTGAATTTTCAGCAGCCATTATTCCAGTCTTCAGTGTTACGTGCTCCTTCAGAAATCAATCTAATATGCCAACTTGATGCTCAGAAAACATTTCTTATTATTAGCAACATTGAAAACAATTGTGCTGCTTCATGTGTTTGTGGAATAAGTGATAGAATCAGCAGTGATGCAGTAAGCATTTATTTGAAATAGAAGTCTTTTGTAATATTATAAATGCCTTTACTGTCACTTTTTGTCACATTAATGCATCCTTGCTGAATAAAAGTATAGGTTCATTAAAAAAAAAACATCTTACCCGAAACTTTGGAATGCAGTATATCAACACATTTGTGTATATTTGGACCTTTTTTTTTTTTATTTTCTAAATAGAACAGACTAAAATATTTCTTAATTTCATGACCATGACTTTGGAGCAACCTTACTGGGTGAATTTCATGAAAAAATGGTCATAAATAACCCCACATTCAAAAAATGTATAAATAAATTGTATTATTACAAATATTATATATTGCATAAAAAATAAAATAGAACAGGCTTTATTTTGTCATGACAATTAAACACATCTGGGTATTTTACTTCTGAGTTTTGTGGAATTTGTCTTTCATTAGATTCTCATTATTCTCAATACAGTATATTTTTGTAACATACTTAAAATTATCATTTAAATTAGCTTAAATTAAAGTCAATGCAACAATACCACAATGAGTAAATGCTTGACATTTATACATTTATTTATATATATATAAATATATATAATTTTTTTTTTGTTTGCGTTCACATTTTTCCCACATTTACACAAGTAGTAATCAGAATTTTTTAAAAATGAAAATGCAATGCAAAAAATCCAAATGGTTCAAATAGGCCTTTTTTTTTATTTTGGGGTGAAATATCATCTGAAGATGTTTAGTTTCCCCCTGACAGTCACTGTGTTTGTCTATACATGCGCATGTGTGAATGTGTTCACCCTCTGGTCTCTCTCCAGGCCTAAGCCCATGACTCACCAGCTTTCCAGCCCTGATTTCCATGGTGAGGAAAAGAGTGAGCAGCTGACCAGCATTGGGCAGATCAAACCAGAACTTTACCGGCTGCGCCAGGGAGACCAGGGGGATGGCAAACAAGGCGACACCTGTGGCAAAATCAGCTTCCTCCTGCGCTACGCCTTCAAGTGAGTCCACTCGAATCCATTCCGCCATTCCCTTCTCTCCCCACGGGGAAGCATCTAGTTTGGAATTGTCGCACAATGTGGATCCATGCCTCTCAATACATCAGTGGGTTATAAATAGATCGCATCGGCAGGGCTCACAATTGAAAAGGCGAGCTGAAGAAAGAAGCAGGGGAGTTGCAGTCAGCACAATGAGTTATAATCAGGCCTGCTGTGGGCAAGCCCGTGCACGTCAGACCGGGTCCTTTATTTTGCCATCACACAGAGGGACATTAGAATGGTGGAAAGTGCTGATGTTTGAGAAATGAAGGAGGGAGAGGCTGTTTCACTCATGAATTATATATGACCAGCCACTTTAAACAGCACAGCCTGTCAACACATAATAGCACAGCACTGTGTTAGGGCCAGAATTACAGAGTAGGCCGAGGGAGAGAAAGAGATGAAGATGGGTGAGTGGAGATTGATATCTCATTCCTTACACATAAGGAGTAGTTCAAATAAATGATTTGACACCTCTGTCCCTGTTCATTGTATTATCGGTCTATTATGTTCTACTGTGAGGTGAGTATGTCACGATTGCGTTTGCGCATGAGATGGAAAGCTTTTGAATTAAAAGGATAGTTCACCTAAAAATAAAAGTTTTGCTGTTGCCTCGTGTTGTTTTAAACCTTTTCTTTCTTTCTTCTGTGGAACAAATAAGGAGATGTTTAGCAGAATGTCTGGCCTGCTGTTTTACTGTACATATAATGAACAGCCGTGGCCACCCTTCACTTTCATTGTATTGAAAAGAGCAACTTAGACATTCTGCTTAACATCTTTTGTGTTCGGAAGAGAGAGGGTTTTAAACAATCATGGTGAGCTGGGGATGAGCAATATAATGGTAGACACGGTAAACTGGTAGAACTTTGTCAGCCAGTTTTGTATTAGATTTTGGATTATCGGTTACACTCAGTGTTGCAGTCACAAACGTTTGTGATTTGAAGCCACCAGTCACACAGCATCTGAGTACAGAATCAAGTTCATTTTGGCAGCTCATTGCACTTAAACTGTCAAATAAACACAAAAATGGCAAAAGTCAAATTGCCATTTTCACATATATTTACTTTACACTAGGGCTGCACGATTATGACAAAAATCATAATTGTCGATTATTCCCTTGAAATTTTAATTGCGATTATTAATTATGATTATCACAATTTACATTGAATGATGTTTATACCATTGTTTGATACAACTGCATGCCGTATTTTTATATGAAAATAAACAAGCTGAAAACACTCTAACTGAAAAACCTTTAGTGCTTTTCTATAGTATTAAGCCTCAAATGTCAAATATACATCGGATTGGTTTCTTCTTTAAATTATAAAAAAAGTAAAAATATGAATGGTATTATAATGTTATACTAAAACTAAAACAATGGAAAAACCCTTAAGATAACATGTAGAAAGAAAAAACATATATTAAGCATGCAGAATAACATAAGTGGACTTTGGTGGACTTTGAACGATTAATTGCCGCTTTGAACGATTACGTAATTGTGGCATCCATAATTGTAATCGCGATTAGAAATTCGATTAATTGTGCAGCCCTACTTTACACATTTGTATTTTTGTTCCATTATATTTCTTTGTCCTATTGCTTGTAATTAGTTTCTTCAATCCATTTTTTATTCCTAAAGGTTTACTTGTCTCATGAACTCGAGAACTTTTTACTTATATTAGGTAGGCTAGTATTAGTTTTGCTGTGAGAATCGTGAAATTTCATCAGTCGTGTGAGTAAATGAAAAGAATTTCGATTTCTTTTTAAAGGGGTCATATGTCGTTGCTAAAAAAAAACATTATGTTGTGTATTTTGTGTAATGAAATGTGTCTACACTCTTAAAAATAAAGGTGCTTCTAAAGGTTCTTCAAGCGATGCCATAGAAGAACCATTTTTGGTTCCACAAAGAACCATTCAGTCAAAGGTTCTTTAAAG